ACCAGCGAAAAAGGTTTGTCCATGACGCAAACGTTGGGGGGGGGGGGGGATGACTATTTCTATTAATTCTGACCCCTAAACAGGATAAAAAATATTTTATATTCATCGGAATCAGAAATATGACTACAGATTTGTACTCAGCATAAAAAACTAAGTATAAACATGTTGTTTCATTGAATGCAAAGTTAATCTAGTAAAAACTATCCCATCAAATACAATTAACTGGAGTATCTCTCCACGTATATATTTATAAGTCTGTCTAGTCTCTCATGAGAAACTGTGGAACCAAATTTTATGTCTCATTTAGAATCACTGGAATGTCTATCATTTGTCTCAAATTGGTTACCACAATCAATCTCCAAATGGGAATTTTCATTTGGAGATTTTTTAATTTAGGGATTTTTTTGACATGAAATATATCATACGTTCTACAGTTCAATACCATTCTTTTTCTCTTCCAAGACCGTATTACCAAAACTAAAACTTTTGAAGTCATATCGGTTAGAGATGTTTTGGTTTGGATTAGCTAAACATAATAAAAACAGTTTTCCCATGAATCTGGTGACCAGAATGTATTTTGGGGTACTACAAAGAACAACTTTCAGGTAAATCTGGCGATCAGAATATATTTTGAGTTGCTAAAATGAGAACTTTATATTAAACCAAGAAACATTCTGGTCGCCAGATTCATGGAAAAACTGTTTTTATTATGTTTAGCTAATCCAAACTACGCACCTCCAGCAGATATGACTTCAAAAGTTTTAGTTTTGGTAATACGATCTTGGAAGAGAAAAAGAATCATATTGAACTATAGAATGCATGATATATTCATGTCAAAAATCCCTAAATTAAAAAATCTCCAAATGAAAATTCCCATTTGGGGATTTTGTTTGGGGATTGATTTGTGGTAACCAATTTGGGGCAAATGATCACCTACCCCATGGGCAAAGTTTTGGAAAAGTACCGCTGAGAGGAACCACAGGGCCGATTTTTCATGGGAAAAAAAGTTTTTCCCAAATATATACCATTTGACTCAATTTTTTGCGCTGATTCTGACAACCGGTCGAATCAAATACCGTAATCGATAGATAGATGGTTATAATTCTTATAAGCAGAGATGTCCTGAGCTAGAGGAGAGGACGAGGCGATACCCAATTCTGAGAAATTTTCATTTTTCTCCAACAAAATTTCAGCTTTTTATTTGTTTTTTTGCTTACCAATTCTCAAAAAATGTCAGACTCCCTCGCCGATATTCGATAAATTTTAGTAAAAAATTTCAATTCGGTGTCCTAAGTCATCGACCCCTTCCCTCAACCTTGACGGCCTCGAAACACCCCTACTCATAAGTGAAGCGAGGATATCATTCCTCAGTTTTTTTGAATCCTTTTTTTACCTGAAAAATGACAGAAACATTTATGGTTTCAACTCTTCGACATCTGCATAGTACTTTGGAGTAATAGATTTAACTTTTGTAGTTGTCCGGTAATCCTCTCTCATAGGAGATATGGCTATCCAAATATTTTTGATAAAGAAATCATGGAGTGCTATTTAGATGATGTTGTTTCTTTTCACACCAATGTATCCTTTGCTCGAGTACGTCGCTTTGAACTACCCTTAAAAAATATAGATGCATTCTTTACAGGTAACGAAAAGCTTATTTGGTATTAATTCACTGTCTAATAATGAATTTTCAATTCGTCGATCACAAATAGCTCCTAGGGACAAATTTACAGATTCTATTGGCACTAGAAATGATGCGACAAAAAGAAATAAGTAAGAGGGCAAACAATAGATGCTATTTAACACATATTAATCCTTTATTGTCGTCTTCTTATATTTAGTCTGAACAAACGCAAAAGACGTATGGCTGGTTTTCCTGCTTGGTGTATATGCACATGCTGTATAGGCCTCGGTTTCTTAGCAGCCATCCTTGCTGCGATTCTTGTGCTTACTTTACGTGAGTACTTTTTCTATTACTTCGTTTCAAGAACTAACTTCAAGAACACGAAAGACTTGTTAATAGTTACATATCACATCTGAGCTCCTTTCACGTGAAATATTTCCCTAGTTCTTTTTTGTTGTAGCTTAAATGTAGGAAAAATTCCTGTGAGAAGAAATAACTCAACATGGAAATTTTCTTTTTACTTCTAGAAAAATCGTTTTTAAAATTTCACAGGCATTTTCCAAAACTTTGATGAAGAAAATATAATCTTTAGTCTACACTGAAAAACAGAAGTGCCATATGGAACTCTCTTTTGAAACAAATGCGAAACTTTTTTTAGTGGTTTCGTACAAACCCAACACACATTCACAATGATTGTCACGAGTTAGGAAACTTTTTTTCAAGATTTTGTAGATTTGCTACGAAATCCTAAAAAGACTTACATTTCGTTACGAAATTCGAAACTTTTATCAAGTACTGAAGCATGTACAGAATTCTTTTTATGTTCCATACCGTGAGTGAAACTTTTTTAAATTTCTTACCGTACACGAAACCATTTTTGGTTTCATGTGGTACCTTTTTTTTCACAATATATTTGCTTGCAGCAAGCTTTTAAGAACTATAATTGGTTTCATCTTAATTTTATTCGAACAAAACATTTCAAATGATTTTGACTAATAGATTCGTTTTTTCAATTGATAAAAATTATTTCAATTGATAGAAATTAACGTAAGTTATATCAGATTCAGATTCGAATTTTTCCACGACTGCTTCGCTTAGCAATACGTTTCAATTTTAGTTTCATATGTTCCAAATACAACGTCTCGAGCTCAATCGGATGAGGAAAAATATTCCTCAATATATCTTGTACTCGTTGCAGAAAACCTCGAATAAAAATATTTTCCCTATTGGATAAATTCAAAAACAATGATTCTTGAGCCTATTCGCCTACCACCATGTTCCAACAAACGTATTCGTGTACTTAGTACCATTCGAGGAGCATAATCAGATTGTGAAAATTGCACCTAGCTACAATCTTTTTTCTTCATGGACTTATTAATTTACTTGCTAAACTAGGGCGTGGGTGCGGATGTTGATGTTCGTAACATTATTCAAACATCATCTACACATCCAGAATTTCGCAGTTTTCAGACGAAGTCTACTATGAGTTGTGTAGATTCATTTGTGATTTCGTACGTCATGGACTAGACCATTTATGTTTTCGTAGAATTATTGAAAGTTTCCTAATATGCTTACGAAACTATTCTCAGTTTTCTAATCAATATAAAAGTTTCGTATATTCTATACACAACCAGCAATAGTTCGGTAGAGTATCTAAGAGTTTTGTATTATTATTACAGAATCATTCTTCACTTCATTTACTACCTACTACTTCAATATACATTGCACGAAACCGTGGCTAGTTTCGTAGACTACACAAAGGTTTCATATTTTTCATAAACAACCTTCGTAGTTCCATTAAGTATTGGTAGATTTCGTATATTTTCTACAAAACGTTGCACCATTCTGCATATTATCGAACATTTTCTATTATTTTCCATGCTTACGCATTAGGTGTGAAGTATGTGAGTGTGGGTGATAAAAGAAGAATACGCTCACACCCACACCCGACACCTACATTCACAGCCTTGTCGAGAATGGTGGGACCAGCCACAATGTTGTTGGGACAGGTACGAAAGGTGTGAAAAGCGACAGCAAATATTCAATGTATCAGTTGGGGCACAATTATCAAATAACAAGAAAAATTTGTTAGCACGACAAGTCTGATATTGCGTAAAATGATTGGATTGTGTTTCTTTTCCAACTGAACTTTTTGAATACTTGAATTTTATCGATTTCATATTTTAAACTTATACGCACTTATTCTACACACATCACCAATGTTATTTCTGAGGTCCAGTGTGAGAGGGACCGAAGAATAATCACATAGGCGCAGATAGAATAATAAACGTCTAAGTACAAGACTATGACTACAGATCTAAGTCTATAGTCATAAGTATACAATTTATGAGAATGTAGTCATAATGATATAGGTCTGAGGGTATAGGTATAAGGATATAGTTATAAGGTTATACGTGTAAGATCAAGATGCAAGGAGATATGTAGAAGCTTAGAAAAGTAGTTAGGTAACTCTTATGGTATAGACGTGACGATCGTTACGAAACCTTTTTTCAATTGTGTAACAAAGGTTCAGTACAAAACTATTGTGCGAAATCTTTTTTACAGCTGCCAGAACTGATTTGATACGAAAACCTTTTTTGATTTCGCAAAAAATCTTTTCTTTTTTGGAGTGTGCGTTACAAATTATCGTTTTTTCACTGATCCGTGACATTACAAATCTCTGAACGATTTCTCTAAAAAAAAAAATTGTTCAAAAAACTGAGTATCTGCTATTCAAAATCTAACAAACCTACTATTCGAGTTCATGTACAGATTTTCGATACTTCGTTTTTATCGAGTTCGATCTCAGAAAATAGATACGACTCTATGGACGAGAAAGCGCATCAACAGCTATAAGTACAAGCAAAAAAGATAGTAACGAGTTGTACCGTCAAATTTATCAAAGTGGTTCGAACATCTATGGAGCGATGGCAAGCTCGAATTTCCACTCTCCTTATAAGTACTTATTTGTGCGAGAATTGGAAAAAACGGTTACTTGTCACGTTAATATAATCGAACGAGTGTGCTAATGAATCTCTCAACGTGTAAGAAAGATAGTAGAAGAAAGAAAGTCATGATTTTGACAATAAATCAGTTTACTCTACGTTATGAATGTAGAAAGTACTTCTCCGACTACTACTTCCCAAAATTAATAATGGACAATGTAATTTTTCAACCAATCAGAAGTATCCTGATACATATGTGTCGAAATCCCTTTTCTATATAGAAAATGCGACGACTAATACAGTAACGAAAATTAATAACAAAGCTTATTCTTCTACTAGTATTCAAAGTGTTGCTGATTATGTCTGTCTATTAGCTCGAATATCACTGATATTATCTTTTCATCAAATCAGAAATATTGGGATTCATCTGCAAGAATAATCTTCTTTTTTTACTTAAGGTTCAACAAGCACCACAACAACAATAACCGTGACAACAACAACGATAACAACATCAACAACAACGTCAATAACAACGACAACAACTACAACAATAACGACAACAACATCAACAACAACGACAACAACATCAACAACAACATCAACAACGACAACAACATCAACAACAACATCAACAACAACGACAACAGCATCAACAACAACAACAACAACGACAACAAAAACTACAACGAGTATGTCCATTTGTTCGATGTTTTAGTCACCGAAGTTGCGTGTGAGTATATTATCGATGAGGATCAATCATTTTTTTGTCTATCGAGATGCCTGTCAATGTCTTCTGTCTCGCTCTTTAAAGCAAGTTTTTTCAAGAGCTGATATGTTCTGCAGATTGTTTTTCAAAATTTTCTCTGAAATATTTTCCAGGAAGACTTTTGAGTGTACTGAATCAATTTCAGCATTGCATGTTTCTGACTTTACTGTAAATATTTTTTTTTCAATTGTTTTCATTGGAGAAGTATGAAGTGAAGTTTTGTACTAGTTGTTAAAATTTCTACATTCTAATAGATATTGCATACTCGACGAGCTTCCATCCTCGATATACAATGTGGGGCAGTGCTAGAAATTAATTCTTTTGACACTGAGGACGTAAAGTTGAAAGAAAAGTTTCGTCGATATTTGCGTAAGTGCGAGACTATGGCGACTTTTAGCCTCTACTTTCATCATAAATTGTAATCGAAATCTACTCTGATTATAGTTTGATAGGTCCATAAAACTAGAACCGGAAATCGAACTGCAACTAAATTTCTTCGAGCTCTTGAAACCTAAGCTGAAAGGATGACCATGACCGAAACAAAACTGTAACTGTTGAAGAGATCAGAAACATTAATTTGTCAGAAAGATAGAAAAATTCTTAGATTTACGTAAACAAGTCTTCATTGCTTCGTTTTTATGGTTAAATACTTCATTATATATTCATCATTTTGTTTTGTTTAAATACTGAAATATGACGAGTCTCTAATCTGAACAATTCAATAGTGAGAATTTCTCCGAGGATGTTTACGATTTTCATATGCATCTTGTAATCGGATAGTTTTGGTTCAATGCAATACTAAGGTGATCAAACTGGAACGATTTGTTTCTCATTCGACGGCAATGGAACCACTGCTGTCTCTGATATACTGCACACACTTAAGTACTTCCCAAACACAGTGAACATCAACAGTTGCCTGTTTGGTCTATGAACCTATGAATGAACTTTTCTCAAAACAATAATTTCTGTTTTTGAGTCCACGCAAAAATAAGATCCTCATTCTTCCTAGTTAACTTCATAGAACTTGACGAACGCACGGATTACCTCTTTTCTCGCCTCATTGTAGACTGATATATATCGCAAAGCTCTTTCATGATGTCTAAATCGATTTTATCGTGTTTCACATAATGATCTTGTAGACATTATACTGTACAATTTTTATTTTTTGATTTTCCAGACGCGATGGAATAGATTCGAAATTCAATTTTTCTCCCAAGTTTTATCTGTTCCAAAGATGCAAAAAAGTTTCTAAATTTGTTATCTAGTGGTATTTAGAATATCTATTCAACCTCTTTACTTGATATGTGCCTCTCTATCATATAGTTCTTCTGTTCTTCATAGTTGACTCTAAATGATTGTGCGTAAGAAAGATAGAGCTTTCCGATGCTGTACACTCTATGAAAAAAAATTGAGCGTAATCTTTCCATAGTAAAATGTATAGCAAGATAGAAGCATTGCTTTCATCAAAACAAATCCTGCCGCTTCTGCCGATATGAATTTCACGAAACTATGCTGAAGGAAAATGGCAAGTTTTTTAATCAGTCACAATAAATGACTGAGATGTAAGAGTAGTCAGAAGGAATATCTGATGCGCATCTGTGCGTAAAGCAATAGTACATACTAACACAAGACGTTTTGATGCTGACTATTCAGTGTGAGTAGAATCAGCTATCAGCTGAAATGACAGCTCCATCAATTCATATTGACTCTCCTTTTCCGTAATATGGGATTCTAATACTCTCCCTGAAGAATAATCACAACTAAATCGTGTTTTGTGTTTGGTTAGCTGAAAATATAGAATTCTCTGCAGCTGAACTTGCTCATAGGTGAGGATAAATTTATCGTTGAGTGTAGAGAGGTACTCTGAAGCTTTCTGGTTCATTTTCTTCGAAATATATCTGCTACTAAGAGCAAAGTTCATTCTGAAAAGGATTCTTGCTCACGCACATTCTGAGCAGAGATAGGTCATTGATACTATATTTTTTGGGTAAAAGGATACAAAGGTAGAAACGATTCGAATAAGCGAATTTCACATCGAAATTTAGTCTTCGAGTAGTTCTTGTAAACATCAGAATGTCTTGATAAGTTCGACTCAAATAAATCATCTGACTAAAGATATTCAATAGTTACAAGCCGTTCCTTTTTATTTAAAAAATTAGAATTTGTCAGCTGCTGAATATTATGAGGAAAAATACTTGTTGAAGCTGGAACTTTCAAGACACTCTTATGACTATATAGGCTACACTGTAAAAAAAAAGAATAGAATAAACAACTCTTTGAGAGTTTATGAAAGAGCAACGTATAATAAACCTGTTTTTTACGGTATGTCAAACTTTTCATAAATCCTTAAAGAGTTTATGACACGTTGCAATTTCCTAAATCCTTTTGTGGATATATGAAAATCAAATACTTTTGCATGATAGCTTGAGTTGGATCAGTTATTAGATTAAAACTAAATGAAAAAAAGAATAATCAATTTTATTTTTCATACTTACGAATGAATAGTTTGTTGCACCAAATCTAACTGAAATTATTTATTTATTTTATTTTATTGATACCTTCAGTTAGATCATCGGTTTGATCAAATCTACATGAAGAAAACAAATTTCAATATTGTTAAAAATTATTCCTTCAATTTTCTCAGTTGTTAGACCGAATCTGCATGAAAAAATAGTTTCACTTTAAAGTTTTCGTGCTTAAAATGAAACTGAACTTTGAATGTAACTGATCACCGATTTGGATTTGTCGTTTTTCTGCGATTAAGAGGTGACTTGGTTTAAAAGCGCCTGTCACCATGAGCTTCCACAATAAAAAGACGGCATTGACCAATAGTGTCGCATGTCATCGGTTTTTCATCAAAACCGGCGCTTAGCCGCGGTTATTAAAAAATTTGCCGGTTCAAAAGGTTTTCTCTTTTTATGCGAATTCTTTATTATTGTGAAACACGATCTACAAGAAGTATTGAAGTATATAGGGTAGAAATTTGCACCTCCTCCCTCCTCTCTCCTTCCTCCAATATACTGTGATAGACAGGACTAATATCCATCGCAGACCATGACAGGTGGACTCTAGGTCCATCACAAATCATGACAAACTGCCATTGATGACTATCATAAGCTCTATATCCCTAAGATCTCGTTAGACTGTATCAACTACCTTATACCAAGTCGAAAGAATTCTATGAACAATGACGAAAAAACTGATTTTATGTTGAATTGAATAAAGGAATTTTTGCGTGATCAGAAACAGAATCTGAATCATGTTTCACATTTTAATCTCACAGAGATTGCACTAACAGCTTTTTTACTTCGTACTGCGTTTTGATTGCAATAGCACAACAATGTTCGAAAATGTTTATTCTTGCATTGTCCTCATCGTAGTCCATTTGATAGACCTATCCTAAAACCTTCAGCGCTGTAAACTAACGGTGACAAAAATTCGCTGTTCTTGGATGTACCAAGTACTTCTTTTTTGAGCAAAATGAAATTATTCTACATTGGGAATTTCGATTTTCTATTTAGCATCAACGACTTCTTCGAACTATTCATTTTTCATTTGATCTTTTACTATCTGATAATTGAAGATCATATATTCGAAATAAGTGATATACTTGAATTATGTATTACTACTACTGCTGCTAAGAATAGTTCATTGTTCATGCCAACTTCAACATTATTACAAAATGCAAGTTGTAGTTTCAAAATGAGAAGTATATTCGAATAGAATCATTTTCAGAACGAACCATTAATCATATATCTTTCAAGTAAGTGATCAATCTTAGATCTTAGTTTTAAATTAAGCGATATAATTGAACAGAGGCATTGTTATAACTATTTATTTGATATGTAATCGTTAATAACAATATCAACAATAAATCAGTCATCCATAGTGAATAATACAATTGAACTGGGTTCTGCTACTACTTATAATCAATCATTTGTCAGGATGATTTTCGACCATCGTGCTCACTATGAAGGTTTAGTTTGAAATAAGCAACATATATGAACAGAGTCATTGTTATGAGTATTCATACGGTACGTAATCTTGCATTGTATTAATTACTTAGAACAATTACGCCGAGATGAGCAGTATAAGTGAACCGAACCATACTTACAACTATTCATTTTACATAGAATCTTTAGCCACTTTACACACTCTAAACCTTTCCTCACGACTGAGCAATATAGTTAAACAAGATCTTGGTTCGGATAATTTATTAGCCATGCCATGCTTGATCTTGTCACTTACTCCAATCCTCAGTTTGAAATGCTCAATATATTAGAACAAAGTTCTACTGACAACGATTCATTAGCGACGTGACTCTAGATTATGTTATTACTTGCCGACATTTACATTGAGGCAGGCATTACACTCCAACTAAGCCCTTTTAAGACTCATTCATTTGGTGTGTAATCTTCAATCATGTTACCAACTTTAAATCTTCAGTTTAAAATGTGCTATATATAAAAATAGAACTGTAATTAGAAAGATTCTTTAGCGATGTTATTCTGAGCATTATTACCAGTAGTATACCTTACTTTCGAGATGAACAATACGCTAGAAAATAACTCTCCTTAGAACAAACCTCTAACTAGATGATCTTCTATTATATTATCACTTGCAAGAAATCACAACAAAATGAGCAATATACTTGAACAGCACTATTCTAAACCTGATTCATTTGATATGCGATTATCGATGATGTTACAAGATAAAATCACTTCCTTTGAAGTATGCAACAAATATTTGGATTAAATCCTATTTAGTGCAATTCTTTGATCAGGTATGATTGCCGATCATATTAGCACTAGTTAATCATGGTTTGAAATAAAAATGATACCTGAACTGAATCCTAATTAAAACAAGTCTTTTATCATTCAATCTATGATTATGTTACTACTGACAAACTTTTGGGTCGAAATGCGCATCATAGTTGAATACAACCGTAC